GGTTCAGGTAAGGCTGGTGGGTTTTTATAGAAACTGTAGGGACTCTGAAAAGGCTTCACATTGTCATCTGGGTCTTATTGAAGCATGTATGGACATCTGGGCTTCTTGTAAGGCTTTACATTTGCTGGTGTGAGTCTTTATGCAGAATGTATGGATATTGGGAATTTCTGTAAGTCTGGGGGTTCTTTAGAAAAAATGTAGGGACACTGAGGTACCTGCAAGGGCTTCACATTGTCAGCTGGGTCCTAATTAAGAATGTATGGACAATGGGGGTTCCTGTAAAGGCTGCTGGGTCTTAATGAAGAATGTATGGACACTGGGGGTTCCTGTAAAGGCTGCTGGGTCTTTAGAAAAAAATGTAGGGACCCAGATGTTCCTGTAAATGCTTCACATTTGTCTGGTGGGTCATTATAAAGAATGTATGAATGATGGGGGTCCCTGTAAGGCTGGTGGGTCTTTAAAAAAAATGTAGGGACACTGAGGTTCCTCTAAGGGATGCTGGGTTTTAATGAGGAATGTTTGGACATTGGGGGTTCCTATACAGGCTTGGTGGGTCTTTAGAAAAACATTTAGAAACTCAGAGGCTCCTATAAGGGCTTTACATTGTCAGCTGGGTCTTAATGAAGAATGTATGGACACAGGGGGTTCCTGTAAAGGCTGCTGGGTCTTAATGAAGAATGTATGGACACTGGGGGTTCCTGTAAAGGCTGCTGGGTCTTTAGAAAAAAATGTAGGGACCCAGATGTTCCTGTAAATGCTTCACATTTGTCTGGTGGGTCATTATAAAGAATGTATGGACACTGGGTGCTCATGTAAGGCTTTAGAGAAAATGTAGGCACCCTGAGGTTCTTTTAAGGGCTTCTCCTTGTCTGTTGGGTCCTAATGAAGAATGCATGGGCATTGGGGGTTCTTGTAATGTTGGTGGGTCTTTAGAAAACAAATTAGGGACACTGAGGTTCCTGTAAGGGTTTCACATTGCCTGCTGGGTCTTTCTTAGGAATGTATGGACATTAGGGGCTCCTGTAAGTCTGGTGGGTCTTTAAGGAAAAATTATGGATAGAGGCTTTAAGGTCAACAGCATTTAAAGTGAACAAGTGCAGAATATGTGAATATAGGGGGGACTGGACACTCACCCACCAGGAAGTCAGCAATGGCCAGGTTGAGGAAGAAGAAATTGCCATGAGTCCGGAGCCCTTTGTCCACCACAAAAGCCAGGATGACCAGAGCATTGCCCAGCACCGTGGCCAGCACCATCAGAATCATCAGCACGGCCAACAGTATGGAAACGCTGGGAGTGAACTGTCCATAGTACTGAAACTGCTCCTCGCCTCCTGCCAGGCACTTGTTCCCGGCCAAGCTGTCCACAGCGGAGCTGTTCCCTCCAGACATCGCTGCGCTCAATGCCAGGCGGGTGCCAAGTGCATGCAAATCGCAGAGCTCCTCCAGCACTTCACATCATCCAAGTGGAGGACCTGCTGGCCACACAGGTTCTGAACTGGCCAGGGCAACCTGCCTCACCTGCTGCCAGAGCAAACTCCGAGCCCTTGTGCTTCATTAGAATCAAGTGTGCTCATTAGTCAGTACAGATCCCAGAGAATAAGAGAACATACAGCAAGCTGCTCATAGTGAGGGGCTTATGAGTGGCTCAGCTGCGCCACCTTCAGGAGGAAAGGAGAATAGCGCCCATGGACATTCTCAGACACCTCTACATCCAAGGGGTACTAACTCCAGAAACATACAGCAAAATATACAGATCAGCTCCACATAAGTGATCTGCTATACCTGCCAAAGGATTTGTATTTCTGTCCCCCCATTCCTGAGATTTATACAGCTCTGCCACACAGCAAAGGCCTGGCTGACAGGTAAGGGGACCTGCTTTTTCTTTGCTGCATCTTAGTAACACTTACAGGTCTCCTTCCAACTCCCATCCTGTTATTGGCTAGTGAAAGAAGAAGCAGCGGGCCATGAGCTTATCCCTCTTTCACTCTGCTTTCTCCTCCTATCAGAATGCTCCTTGCTTGCAACAAAAATGGGCGTCAGCCTCTTGCATGCAGCAAGAGGCTGATGCCAAGATGCTTGCACTAAAAACAAGTACATTTAGGCATGTGTTAAAGAAGAACTCTGGGCAGAAATTGCATTTACCGTTGCAGTGGGGCTACCCCATGCACTGCAAGGGTTAATTTGTCGTTTTTGCCTTGGGTAAGTTATACTCACCTGATCCTCTGAGCTGGCCAGCTCTTAGACTGGTCCCTGGAGCCTCCCCCCCCCCCCCCCTAGTCCAATACAGTGTATAGGACATAAGGACGCCGAGGGACATACCATCACTGCAGTAGAGGAGGAGACGGTGCCGGTTTTGAGGATTGGGTGAGTATAACTTTTTTTTGACCCTAGGCAAAAACAAGCAGTTAACCCTTACAGTGCATGGGGTAGCCCCACTGCAATGATTAATAACATTTCTCTCCAGAGTTCTTCTTTAATGCATAGAGAGTTGCATTCATTTGCATATTTTGTATCTGCTCGAAATTCAGCTTTAAATAGAATCTAACTTTGTTTGTTCTGTCGACATTGACAGGTCCTCTTTACAGCGCTCTCTAAGATACGTACCTTCCCTGTGCTCCCCTAGCTTATGCCCTACTCTCGGAGTCCTGATTCTAATGCACATGTAAATTCTGCATCATTCTGTCTTTGAGCCTACATGGGGTTAATGACTTTCTCCCATGTGACATTGTTCAGGCTTAGTGATTGGCCAATCAGGTGCCCTGGAAGAAGGACCAAGAGAAGGTCCCACATTCCCCAATATTCAGAAGTAATGGGCATTTCCAAGGACTCTGAAAAATGAGCGGACATGGAGGTGGGGGCTGGGTATTTGTCAAAGGTGAGTATCAGCGGGAACAGAGGGGTTATTAAGAGAACCCGTCACTTTTCCCATGATGGGCAAGGTAAAAAAATCATTTTTAAATGGTCAGTCCACCCAAAACCAATAAATCCGAGTTTAGTAGATGCTGGAGAGTTAAATCACCTGAGAGTTCCCTTTATCTCTCTGAAACGTCCATGGTAACATCTCTCCACTTGACTTTCAGGGTCTGCAGCAGCCATTACGTCAAGTTCCAAAAGTGGAAACACCGTGATGCGGGGAGGGGGGCAAAACGCCCAAGTGGGCAGGATCAGAGCTGGGAACTTTGGTGGAGAGAGCTCCTCGGATATATATGAAAAGAACAGAGGGTGTCTCAGGGCACCAGACTCCACTTCCAGACACATGTCTTCTTTAGGAACACTGAGCCTTTCAATGGATTATTCAGGGTTGTCCTGATCAATGTTGGTGGTGCCAATGAAAATGTAATTCGTTATAAAGCGTTGGTGAAAAGCTTTACTGGATTCACTTGGTGAATAGCTTTACTGGATTCACTTGGTGAATAGCTTTACTGGATTCACTTGGTGAATAGCTTTACTGGATTCACTTGGTGAATAGCTTTACTGGATTCACTTGGTGAATAGCTTTACTGGATCAGACTTCCTCAACCAGGTTCCATGGAGCCCCAGGTTTCCTTCAGAGGTTGCTACTTATGCATTAATCATTTTCTGCCTCTGAGATAAGTAACCACTGATCTTCTTAACTACCTGTAAAGGGAGCATTCTTCCCAATGAGCACCAATGTAAGGAACATTCTTCCCAATGAGCACCAATGTAAGGAACATTCTTCCCAATGAGCACCAATGTAAGGAACATTCTTCCCAATGAGCACCAATGTAAGGAACATTCTTCCCAATGAGCACCAATGTAAGGGACATTCTTCCCAATGAGCACCAATGTAAGGAACATTCTTCCCAATTAGCACACATGTAAGGGACATTCTTCCCAATGAGCACTAATGTAAGGAGCATTCTTCCCACTGAGCACCAATGTAAGGAACATTCTTCCCAATGAGTACCAATGTAAGGAACATTCTTCCCAATGAGCACCAATGTAAGGAACGTTCTTCCCAATGAGCACCAATGTAAGGAACATTCTTCCCAATGAGCACCAATGTAAGGAACGTTCTTCCCAATGAGCACCAATGTAAGGAACATTCTTCCCAATTAGCACACATGTAAGGGACATTCTTCCCAATGAGCACTAATGTAAGGAGCATTCTTCCCACTGAGCACCAATGTAAGGAACATTCTTCCCAATGAGTACCAATATAAGGAACATTCTTCCCAATGAGCACCAATGTAAGGAACGTTCTTCCCAATGAGCACCAATGTAAGGAACATTCTTCCCAATTAGCACACATGTAAGGGACATTCTTCCCAATGAGCACTAATGTAAGGAGCATTCTTCCCACTGAGCACCAATGTAAGGAACATTCTTCCCAATGAGTACCAATATAAGGAACATTCTTCCCAATGAGCACCAATGTAAGGAACGTTCTTCCCAATGAGCACCAATGTAAGGAACATTCTTCCCAATGAGCACCAATGTAAGGGACATTCTTCCCAATGAGCACCAATGTAAGGAACATTCTTCCCAATGAGCACACATGTGAGGAGCATTCTTCACAATGAGTACCAATGTAAGGGACATTCTTCCCACCAACTACCAATGTAAGGAACATTCTTCCCAATGAGCACCAATGTAAGGAACATTCTTCCCAATGAGCACCAATGTAAGGAACATTCTTCCCAATGAGCACCAATGTAAGGAGCATTCTTCCCAATGGCCATCAATGTAAGGAGCATTCTTCCCAATGGCCACCAATGTAAGGAACATTCTTCCCAATGAACACCACTGTAAGGAACATTCTTCCCAATGAGTACCAATGTAAGGAACATTCTTCCCAATGACCACCAATGTAAGGGGCATTCTTCCCAATGAGCACCAATGTAAGGAACATTCTTCCCACCAACTACCAATGTAAGGAACATTCTTCCCAATGAGCACACATGTGAGGAGCATTCTTCCCACTGATCCCCAATGTAAGGGACATTCTTCCCAATGAGCACCAATGTAAGGAACATTCTTCCCAATGAGCACCAATGTAAGGAGCATTCTTCCCAATGGCCACCAATGTAAGGAACATTCTTCCAAATGACCACCAAAATAAGGAACATTCTTCACAATGACCGCAAATGTAAGGAGCATTCTGCCCACTGACCACCAATGCAAGGTGGTCAGTGGGATGATATTGAAGGGTTCCTTCATGCCAAAATGGTTGAGAAAGACTGTTTTACACTGTATACTTTATTTTGACCAACAGCTTCTTTTCAGAGCAGGAGCCTACCCATCACACATAGAATAATCCTTACCTCCAGGACTTGTCCATTTTATTCATGCTTGTTACCATACCAACACCGGGAGGGTCAGTTGTTGGAGAGTTTGAAGCAACTAACACTGTGATATCTTCTAGCAAGCCTTAGATTTATTTTGTGGAAAGAGACAGCTGAGCAAATGAGCATTCTTGAAGAGATATGAGGAAGGATGTGAGTGGTGCTTCAAAGCGTATCTAAACCCCGAAAACATAAATGTCATATATTGCAGCCCACCAGTCCTTAGATGTGGCGGCTGCCTTATTCTTCCTTTTACATTCTTTTTCCCTCTTTATTTTCACCTTGTGAAGCAGTTAACCCTTGCAGCGCCGGAGTAACTCCACTACAAGAGTTATTATTTTACACTCCTGGAGTTTCCTCTTTAAATAAATAAGCAGAATTGCAGATAGAAATACAATAAAACACACAATACATGTATAATTGTATAATCCAAGACATCGGGTATTGTGCTGGAAGAAATTATAGATGTTTACAGAATGTGCAAAAATAGCCCGATAGAGATAAACATGTTATGACGGATCGATATCTCCATTATAGGGAAGATCAGCATAAGGAGACGTTAAGCACCTGTAATGGTCTCACTTAAGTATCGATTCCGCAACATGTGCAAGATGATTTGTGTAACTAGTTTACTGTCTGGTACAGAGAAGAAGATGGATGTGTGGTGTCTGACATGATAAACAACGCTCCCACATCCCGGGACGATCAACACACTGAAAACAAGGTTTTCACAAGAAGATGTAGATCTCAGGAAAAGGGAAAACGAGTGAAAAGAGAGAGAGAGAGGGAGGAGAGAACAGAAAGGAGGGGGAGAGAGAAGAGAGGGAGCATGAGAAGGAGGAGAAGAGAGAGTGTGAGGAGGAGAGAGAAGAAGGGGGAGAGAGAGTGTGAGGAGGAGAGAGAAGAAGGGGGAGAGAGAGTGTGAGTAGGAGAGAGAAGAAGGGGGAGAGAGAGTGTGAGGAGGAGAGAGAAGAAGGGGGAGAGAGAGTGTGAGGAGGAGAG